CCATTTCAGGGGGTCATTTGTGGATGAAAAAAGCTGAGAGCTCAGGCGGGCGAACCTTGGCTGGTGAAGGCCGAGATGCTGGTCTTCCACTTGCCCCACTTCCCGCAGATTGCGCCGGGCGCCCTGGTTTCTGGCAGGCGTCCAGGTGGCATAAATGGCCAGTCCCAGGCGGTTTGGATTGTCCCCTTGCCAGCGGTTGCGCATGGATGTCGAGACTGCAACCTTTCACCTTACATGCTTCCTCACCAAACGAACCTTCTTCCTCACTCAAAGTAGCTGCGACTCTGTCGCACATGCATTGCATGCATGCATGTTTGCGTGTGATGAAGCTCGTCCGTGGTAGCGGGTTCGAGCACCCCTTGTCAGGTAAAGAATGTTGCGCTTTCAGATGTGGCTCAATCACTCAAAGATTTGGCATATCTAAACCAATTGCAGCCGCAGTTTTGCCAAATTGGTAAACCGGCCAGATTGTTACTTGGTTGCCTCTGTGTTTCCCCAGTCAGGGCAACCGCTACTGGACTCAAGACCTCGTCTTGAAAATGTAAAGCCTGGCCCTTCCCACTCAAGTTCGGCACATAAGCCCGCAAGTTAAGCCCTTAATAAGGCCTGATTTCAAGGCTTATGTTGGGCTCCCTCCACCCCCCCCTCCCCCCCGCCGGGCCCCATGACAGACGCACCACCGCCAGGTGGTCCTTGCTGGACCCCGGGGTGGAGTTCTCCTCCTCGCTGAAGCTGGCCACTTCCGGGTGGGCAGGACGCCGAAGGGAAGAACTCCGCGGATTCCGCGGACGAAAGAAAGATACATGAATACGTCACCCGAGCGTGCAAGAAGTAGTCGTCCGCATGAAGGGGCCGGGGAAAAGGGGAAAACCGGGCATGTCATAGCTGTGAAAGACTGTCACTCACGAAGCTGGGCAAGACAACAATCATGTCTTGCAGCAATTTTCCGTTTTTTTTTCATGAGCCCATTGCTTAGGCTCACGGTCTTTCATATGGCTGACACATCTCACGAAGCTGGCTCGGCAAGACACGTCTTGCAGATAGCCGTTGCGCAAGCCGCAGGACGGCAGGAGGACATGGTGGTTTACCACTTCTTCCATGGGGGCTGGCTGGCACAAGAGAGTGCCATGGAGGTGGAAGATCAGCTGGATGAGTTCGAGGTCTTTTACAACATGCGGCTCAGCATGGTCTTTGTACGACATACCGCGGATACCACAGGTGTCCTTCTTGGTTGTTGTGGAAAAATAGCTGGCGATTCCTGGTTTACCTGGTGGTTTGGTAACAAAAATAGGTGGGGTGGTTTAATCATCTTCCAGGGCCATCTATTTCCCCTAAAAGGACACTTATGGCGAATATCCTAAAAAGGGGGGTACCCCACAAAATGTCATATTTCAATGCCTGGGACTTCAGGGTGTTGACGTAATCTTCACGTTTTTCGTCACATGTCATACAGATATCTTTCTTATTTGGGTGTGAGCCCGCTCAGCACGGTCTGGCAATTCGACCATCACTTTTTCTCATCCAGTTTCGACGTAGCTGACTTTTAGTAAATCCTGCCCCTAAGGTACTGACAGGCTGGCAAAGATGTTTCCAGTTGTTTGCGTGTTTCATTCCGCAAATGGCAAGTGAAGCAAGGGTTCTCTGAAGTTGCCCACACCGGGGACGTGGGGCTTGCATTCCATTTTAGGTTTTGGATGGCATACTTGCCATGTGATGCGTCGGAAGGACGTTATCATGACCTTCATTCATCCACACCCCAACCGAATGGTCTAGCGCGAGCTTTGTAGGTTAGGTCCCGGCCAGACCAAACTGAGTGAGTGTTGATCCTTAGCCCATGGCTGACGAGCTATTATCAAGAGGGGGACGCCTGTCCGTTGATGCCACAGCGGACCTGCGGACAGTACAAGTGTTCTTCTTCCTTTGCCTCACATCCCACAGATGCAACGCAAGACATCTGTCCAAAGTCTAGTTTTCGCAAGGCTTGCTTTAAATACCAAGTGGCTCGCTTCGCTTGGCTCGCTTCACTTTTATTTGCTTAAGAAATGTGTCACTTTCCCTTGTTGTTGTTTTTTGTTGCAGAGAATCGATGTTCTCATGGCGCGAAGAAGCTTAACTGGCGGTTAATTTCCACTTGTGGGTTTGCCTAGGTCCCCCAGTAGTGCCCTTTCCCCCTTTGTGGGGGAGGGTTCCCCTACTAAAATAGACAACAGAAAAAAGACGGTACCCTTATTCCAACCTTTCTACTGGAGGACCTAGTTGAGCATTTGAGCATCATGCGCCAAGCGTCACCCCCACCAGTGGCTCGCTTGGCCCGGGGCTCGCGTCGCTTAAGTTGGTTGTTCTTCTTTTCGTTTTCCCTTGTTTTTGTTGTTGCAGGGAATCGATTTCACTACTCAAAGTATGTTTTTTCTCCACGTTTTCCAGGGGGCGCTTGACAAAAATTCGCCCCGCGGCCCACAGCTCGGTTGCTCGCTCGCGTCTCAGGAGCTGCACGGAGAGTTCAGCCGCGCGCTGCGCGGCGGCGCGGGAGCAGCGGATCCGGCGGCTGCTGGCGAAGAGCCGCGTGGGGGACCGGCGCCCGGCCACGGAGATCTCCTGCCAGACCCTGGCGCCTCGGCCGGCGCGAAAAAAACCAAAGCGATGGGGCCATGCTGTGGATGGACGAAATCCGCTTCTCGCACCACTTGGAAACCATTTGTCTTTCTTAGGTGGCTTCTTAGGTGGTTTCTTAGGTTTATTTACAGGGGGATCATCCTTCCAGGGTTTCTTAGGTGGTTTCTTTGGCCAGCGCGAGTGGCCAAAAGCCATGGGATGGCAGGCCCCTGGAAGGGTATCCCTTCTAGTTTGGGGGCATATGGCCAAAGATAAAAAAGCAATAATAATAATAATAATGGGTGGTTTGATATTTGTTGGGTATTCAAGTGCCGTATTTTAACCAGAGAGAACAACCGAACCTGCCCAGAAACAGAGGTGCTTTAAGGACAAAGACCCCTGTCAGTTGCTCTTCCAGGGAACCCCCCCTGATTTAGTACCGGAGGGGTGTATTCAGCAGGGGTCAGCGTAACAACCAAAGATGGCATCGTTGGTTCACCCGACCGGAATTGTTAGACAAGAAAAACGTTTGTCGGCACAGCTCCGGGTCAACGTGCGAGCTCTTGGGAACAGTGTTTCGCTCATGATTCTCAAAGTTGGACGCTATTCGGGCATGCGGGTGCAACACAGTGGGGTCGGCTTTGCTCTTTGCTTGGCCCTACCCCGAGGAATGCCATGCATTTCCAGCCAGACGGGTAACCCCAAAATAGGGTAACCCCAAAATGGAACCAAACTAAAACCTGCGGTCCATTTCCTGGTGCAAAATTTTGACCCACACCCAAATCGACTTCTGGACTCGTCGCAGCGCCGCACGTTTTCCGCGTGCCGCTTGCCTCAGGAGACGCAGACCAGCTTCGTGCCCCTCCAGCCGTGGATGACTGGCTGGGCCGACAAAATGAGCGGCGAGCCCTCCGCGGAAAACAAGCGCTGGGGGGCGGGGGGGGGCTGAAGTGAATGCATCGCCTCGTCCATCCGCAGGTTGTGCGAGTGCAACTTGGGCTGGAGAAAAAACAACGAGATGTACGTGTGTTTGATTGGTTGGTGTGGCGCTAAACGATGGCAGAGTGGAGCAGATATCGATGTTCATGTTCAGATATGTCTACATTCCCATTATAAAGGGCCTTAGAAGCATGCACCGATGCTTCTAGCTCAGCCAAGTTCGAAACCAAACCAAATACCTCAGCAAGAATTCGCGGTCGCTGAGGCTCTACCTCCTGGCTTTTAGCCCTGAGCCCCGCACTGCCGTGGCCACCATGTAGAACATGGCTCGCGCGAGGCCAAAGTGTCCCTGAAACTTGTGCAGAGATCCTATCAGTTATCATGATCCTCTCACATAGCTTGCGTTGCACTGGTTTGCAAGTTGCATTCGTATGACATAGTATGACCCCGATGCACCATGCTCGCTGGGGGAATGGTGCTGTGGATTCTTTCTACTAAAAGCAAGTACACTCTTGAGAGTTCAGGTGTAACAGGATGGCAGGTGGGATTGCAGAAGGCGAGGAATTTGACACCTGCCTCCCTCCCCCGCACCCATCTGACTGGGAGCGAACTGACCCCCCAACTCCCTCTGAATTTAACTGCAGGAGACTTCCATTTGATACGCACGTTGTCGTGCACAACACATGTGCCCTCCGTTAACTTGATGGAGGGCTCAACATGATGCAACGATTGCAAACTTGCTTTTCTAGCGACTTGAGATCTCAAGCCTTCCCGTTATGCCGAGGCACGGGCTGTCCCATTGCATGTGTGTGCCCCTAGCCCTCCCAGAAATCAGAGAGGCTCGCCAAACAGTACCAGTTTATGGTGGACGCTGGCAACCTTCCAATCAACCCAGAGTTGAGCAGCGATGCTGCAGAGACCTGGGAGTCTTTAGCTAGCTGCGGCTGCTTGCATGTGAAAAGCGGCGGGTGAACATCACTTGCCAGGCATGCGCGGCCGACAACATCTTCATCCCACCCCTTTCTCACACCTTCGCGATTTAGATCATCTGCGATGTTTGGTGGCTTATTGATTCAGCATGGTTCAGAAGAGGGTGGAATGAGCGTCTCGTCGAGGAAAGGCGTGGAACAGGAAAATATGCATCAGAAGGGAGCCAGACAGCGGGCCAAAACGCAGGGGTGCTACCTCGAAATCCTGGTGACCACTCCAGTCACAGATGTGCAGATTTGTACGGCGGAACATTCCTTACATGTCACGATCGCTTTTTGTGGGTGTGGTTTGACTTCTCCTTTTTTGTTTTTGCTTGTGGTTTGTGCAAGGCTTGAAAAAACATCATGCGCGCAGCTGGGGAGAAGTTTGGACCCCCAACTTCCCAGCGAAAAATGCTCCCTGGGGCTTTGGGGCACCGATCTTCAAGCTCTTGTTTTGCCTGCGGCAAGGCCTTTGACTTTCAAGCTGCCTGTCTCGAGGTGGCGCGGGCTCGGCATCCTCACAGGGGAGCTGCGGACCAACATCGCACACTTCGCCCGGCACCTGATCTGCCGATCTGCCAGAAAGGTCGCGGTGTCTCATGTTGATCCTCAAGTGGGTGTGGTTGTCAAAGATAGGGTAACCCCAAAATGGAACCCTGGTAAATGGAAACAATGACTACAACCCCCGGTGGCTTTATTTTGACCCATACCCAAATGGATCCAGCATGCAATGGTTCTTTTATCCCCTGGCGCAGAAACCCTGAGGGAAGCTTTGTGGAAGACACTCGCTCTTATGGTACCTCCAGTCAGTTTCTTTTCAAATGTGCAGAGGGTAGACAGGGCAGATTTTGATAATGACAGCCTCCTGCTCTTGATCATTGAATGAACGACTTGTCTTTTTGTTACCGCGCTGGGCGCAAATTGAATTTTGCCCTCAAAGAGTGTCCCAGCAGCAGCAACATAGTGATAATTTCATGGAGGACGCCTTTGGCTTTGGACTAGCTGGCTGGCTGGTTGCCTGGGGCTTCTGCCATCGCCTTGCCAAGTCTTTGCTCGGCTTCGCAGGGTCGAGTTTCACTTTCTCAGATGCAGAAAGTTTGACGGCGTGCGTAGCGGCATGTTTTTCGAACCCATTGCTGGGGCCCGGACGAATTTTGTCCACTCGCTGAAGGGGCTGAAGACAGCCGGAGACAGGCAACAACCCTTTCAATGTCTACCCTACCCCTTTACCATTTTTGACCACCTCCAGCATGCATTTAAACCCGGCAACCTTTTTTCGTGGACCCCCCCCTTCTTTATCATACCAAGCCCATCTCTTTGCTAACCTGCGTGTGGTCTACCCCTTATCTTCTCCCCCCCCACCCAGATGGTTCCCACCTTTCCACCCCTCAGCCCCGATGGTCTACCCCTTATCTTCTCCCCCCCCCACCCAGCCACCCCTCAGCTTCCCAGCGCTCGAATCGACTCAGGCCCGCGATGCCCTGTGGCTTCACAGCCTCAGCGCGGCGCCTGGGGTCTGCCGGGTCTGCCGGTCGGAGGTCAAAGCCGGGGAAAGGGATGCAACAAAATTAAAGCAGGAGGGGCAAACCGCAGGTTTTGGTCTATGGTTCCACTTACTCAGGGCAAGCCATTTTGGGACCGGTTTTTTGAGCCACAGCCATTTCTAGTTGTTTAAATGCTAGTTAACAGGGAGTTGTGTGAAGATTCCAATGCTCAAGATGTTGATATAATAGATGATGGTTAACAGGGATTTGTTTGAAAACTCTAATGCTCAAGGTTTTGATTTAAGGGATGGCAAGTCCTGAGATAGCATCTGAGGCCCGGAACTGTCGCTTGCGTCCGGTTGGTCACAGAACTCCGAGTCATACGCTCTTTATGTGTTTGATCCATAGGGAGGCACCAGACTGCTGGGGTAACGCCTGGTTTCCACGTGCATGGAATGGGCGGACGTGCTTGTCCCATTGAAGCCTTTTGCTAGCAATGAAAAGCGGCAAGCCGTGGTGCCTTTTGCTAGCAATGAAAAGCGGCAAGCCGTGGTGTTGTTGCCAGAAAAGGGACGGCTGGAGAGACACCGAAGAATATATGTGATACTTCCCCTGCTTTTTTTTCCGGGAATCTATCATTACTGGACATATCCTTTTTTTCCAGAGGGCTTCAGCAAATGGAAGAAACTAATTCAGTGTGTGTGTGTGTGTGCGCACGTGTCACTGTAGGAGTTGCTTTCTCCACAATAGACGTGTAGACCGCAAACTGGCCTTAACCAATGATTGGATGCAATCAAAGTCTCCGCAAAGAACATTGATCCAACAAAGCGCGCCTGCAGGCAACGAAAGCTTGCGCGCGCTGGGTGCTGGCCAATTGAAAGCCGAGCGGGCCTGGGACCCAGGGGACCCGGGACCCGTCGATATGAATGCCGCGAATTCGACCGCCCTCACACAACCTCACCCCAAATGCCGGCAAATAGCATCCGGAGAATCGCCTGCCGCACCCCGCGAATTAGAATTTTCGAAAATAGCCCTTCAACCACCTTAGTTCAGGTCGGCGAGATGAATCTAATCCACCCAGATCATCTTGCCCTCCCGAGCGCTGAAGCGCTGGGGTAAAAACAGTGCACATCTCGAATCACCCTTGGCAGATCAGGCATTCCAGCAGCTTGTCGAATCGGTCGATGAGGCACCGCTCGGATTTAGATTCCCATGCTGGCATGTCGAAGGGCGAAGCCTTCACTGAGCCAATCCCATGCCAAAGCTCGCGGAGTAGAAGGGATGGGCTGACAAATGGTCGCGCCTGCCGGCCTTGGCTCGCCCAAGCCCTCAGCAAGGCTCAACCCCCCCAGCCCCCAATGATCGGCCTGCCCGAGGTCTTGACAAAGCACGCAGCCACCGAGTGCGTGGAGAATGGCGCGTGCGTCAGGACCGACCGCCAGGTGATCTTCGAAATGGAAAAGCCCTTTGGCTGCAGCAAGGTTGGTTTTATACTGGGTCACAGCTCAGCCGATTCCAGAAACTAAAGGCAACAGCGGGCGGTTTTATTTTTTCGCCCTTTACTACAGCCTAGGCCCATCATTCGGGCTGGGCCAACGTTGCAACTACCAGCGGATGGTTGAATCACTGACAATGCGTGCCCGTGTTGCGCACGTCAATTCCGATTGGCCACTCAAAAGTTGCCTGAAGACTTTTTTCTTTCGAAAGGCAACCGCTCAGGATGCCTTGATGTACAGCGGTCTTCTCAGAATGCCATTGTTTTTCAGGGCAACAAGCCTTGCCACCTCAGGTCCACAGAACAGGCACAACATCATGTTTTTTACACCTGGCAAAACAAAACAATTTCTATCAGTTCATCCTTAGATGAATGGAGACAGCAAGCATAGGTGTCATTGCTGCGCCCCTGTCACCCATGAAGATGCAAAGCTGTGGGCAATGAATTTCCCTTCACAATCAGGCAAAAACAGGCAACCGAAGCGCGGCTTGTCGCATGATCGAAGGCTCATCGTATGCTTTGCCTAGTTCTGACTCCCTGGGCCCTGGGCCACGGGGTTTGCTAAGGGCGTGTAGTGGGCAGAAGCTGAGATTCCAGATTTCTTTGCTTAAGAGCATTTGGCTGTAGGGCTTGGCGCCGACACGCGCGTTCGGGTGGAAATGGCAGTTGTAGCAGCACTTTTGTCCGAATTGTTTGAACACTATATGCTGTACCACTTCAGGTTGCTTTGCTCAGGTTGAGGACATTTTGGAGATAGTTTTTCTGCGTTTCTTCCCCGAAGTGCTCGCCTGAAAACCCCGTAGTCACCCCTGAAATCGCTCGCCACTTCGCATTTCTCGCTGAGGTTCCTGGAGGAGGCGAGGCCTTCGAAACTGGGAGCTGGGGGGGGGGGGCGGGGGCCTAGAAACCTAGGGGCCTAGGGGCCTAGCGCCTGGGATGCACGGTGACGACTTTTGAATCTGGGGCCTGGGGGCCGGGGGCCGGGAGATAGTGTAAGACATCTGTAGCGGCTATGCGAACAGGCGAACAGTTGGCTTGATTCAGCCCTGAGTTGAGACGGGATGGCTCAATGAGGCTCGTCGATAGATGTACTCCCTGCTTGCATAGCGAGAAGCTTTCAGGCAGATGCTTTCGTTCGCCCGGGCTTCGCCGGGCTTGCAAAGCAGTGTTCCGAGAACAATGTTCAAGATGAGTGCAGCTAATGCGGAGGGGCCTGGTGAGCTGCAGATCTTTGGCTGCATGTTGTGCATGTTTCGAGGTCACCTTCTAACTCAGACCTGGAAGTGCCTGGCTATGCCTGGATCAAATTTCTGTGACCCTTGTCGGATCTGGTCGGTTTTCTATTGTGGGGTGGTTGTATGTCCGTTTCTTCTTGCTTAGTAGGTGCTACATTCATTAAACAAGCAAAGAACCAGGGGCTTGAGTTTGTTGTTTCCCCCCCAACCCCCCCCCAAAACCCCCCCCCCCAAAACCCCCCCCCCCCAAACGCCCAGCGCGCTGCTTCCAATGGCACCCACTCCACTCGTTTCGCACCTCGTTTTCCACCGCAGGTCGCACTGGAGGGCTGCAGCCTGCCGACCTTTGACGCAGGAGATCCAGCCGCTCGCTTGGGACGGAACGCTTTTGGGCGGAGTTGGCCTTTGGGTAAACTTAGCAACTCGGGTCCTCAGTTGCTGGTTTGGATTGGCGGTTCTAAGGGCTTTTTGTACTACACCCTGGGAATGCACCCACTGGGTACCACTGGATACTGAACCCATTCAGGCACATGTCCGGATAAAACCGTGGTATCTTGAACCATTGTGGGTCATTTCACAAGGGTGTAATCCCAGAGTGTAGTCCCAGGGTGTAATACAAAAACCCTCAGAGTGGTTTGGATCTTCAGCTGCCTTGAGGAAGGGTCGAGTCAGCTTTCTTGGCTTATCGGTCTTCCAGTTTGAGCCCTGGGGGAATTTTGCAGAGACCGCCCCCGACAGTTTCAATGCAAGGACATTCTGTGTTTCCTTTGGAGTCTGCTTGCTTTGTAAGCAAAGTGTCAAAGCGCTATTGCCGCTGTTGCGGATTCTTCGGCGCCCCCATACCAGTAAGGAATTCACCACATTTGTTCCGATTGGCTGTTGATGGCTCGGAACCCGGTCTCAGTACCATCTTGGGACTCTGTGGCCCATTGGCAAGCAAGAAACACCACGAGGGCATGGACCGGAATCTACTTCATGTGGCTGTGAAATCTTCCGGCCTTGTCTATTCTTGTGTGACGCTGCGAGCTTGCTGCTCCGTCCATGTCCGGCTACGCTCGGCTCATTCTCTGAAGTGGCCAGACCGGTAGTGCAATCTCCCAGCACGGTTATTTGTTCTAAAGCCAGTCAATTCCCAAACCATTGCGGCCACTAGCGATATAGAACAATTGCATGTATAGAATGTATCATGCATTTGCCATATTTACCCGGGCCTGAGGCAAATTGATTCAGGCCAGATACGACAGTTATGTACGCCAGCCTTTGGTGTCGCAGGGACTGTTGTCTCACCACCCCTGTGGGCTTAAGGTTGCAATTGTCTAATCTTCCTCTATTGGCTTCAACACCAGCTTGGCTTTCAAATAACTGCAGGACTTGGCCTTGAACGATGGGTTTGACGGATACGGAGATAGCTTCCGCAGTAGAATGGTTGAAGGCGCTGCTGGCTCGTACTGCTCAGCCAATCTTTCTGCCCTAAATACCACCTGTAAGTCAGGTGGTTGACGCTTATAGCCGAAAGTACATGTCCATGATTTGTTCGTGGCTTTCGGCTGGACCATACCCAGGCGATGGATCACACGGTGTGCTTTGAGGCGCCCGCGTGCAAGCGTTCTTGAGTGTGATGCCCGGGCAAGTGATGTTGGGCGCAGGCAGTGGCTTCCGTAATTACGGCAGCACATGTCAGATAGATCATCTTAGATCGTGTTGATAGCTCACAGCTTGGACCCACTTGGTGGTACTACTCTTCATGGACGTGCAGCATCATGTAGCCCCACAGGGTGACTGCTGTTTGCGCTGGCGCATTGCCGAATGCGTCGCATCCAGCCCCGTGGAACACCCCTGTGCTACTTACTCTTTGGCTGACGCTGCGCAACTGCAGGTTGATTTTTTTTGGGGGGGGTTGCAAGATGTCAGAACTTGACAGGGTTGCGGGATCAAGGGGTTTCTCCCCACTTCTGTGATACAAGGGAATCCCCCATTATATGAAGACAATAGTCTTTGAATAGTCTTTGGGAAGCCCTTTCTGTTGTATCACAGAAGTGGTCATTCCCCACAGCCCTGGAACTTGACATCCGGGCAGTCCAACCTTCGTTTTTCTACATTGTCCCGATGCCTCCAGCCTATTTGGCTCACGGCTTTGCACACCTGAGGTGAAGACGCCATCAGGAGAGCTCCAATAATGATTGCCCACTCTGCTCAACTTCACTTGAAAAGGCGTGGTTGGACATGTGACATGCCATCAAACACTCACTCCCTGAGTTTCTGGACTTTAGAGTCGCTTTTTGGGCTTGGACCATGTTTTAGTGCTAAAGAAGTTCCTGGACTGGTTTTGGCCCGTCCACTTGTTCGGAGGTGACAACAAGGCAAGCAGCTCCAAATGGCTGTGGGTCAGAAAACGGGTAACCCCAAAATGGAACCCCGGTAAACGGAAACTTGGACTAAAACCTGCGGTCCAATTCCTGGTGGTGTATTTTGACCACACCCGGTTACCCTCTACAAGAGCCAGGGACCCGTTCAAATCCCCCAGATCCAACCAATCCAAACCACCAGCTGAGGGGGGCTGGGCTTCGGCATGTGAAAGTTTAGGTGCTGGCCCAGCGCTGGCGGCCCTGGGCCGGGGACGCGGTGCAGGCGGAGAAGAAAACACAAGTTTTGCATGTGCGGTACTAATTGCCGGGCCCGCATGGGTGTTGATCAAACGGTCCGAAATACATGCGACCAGGGAAACCACCAGAAAAGATGACTTGCCCCACATGCGCAAAGAAACCTACTGTGGGTGGACGAAATCTGCTTCTCGCACCACTTTGAAGACATGGGAGACCAGTATTTGTGGGTATGTGCGGGGGGCATCATGCCAGGGTTTCTTAGTGGTGGTGCAAGATGTGATGTGATCCATCCACAGTATGTCAAAGGGTTCAAGAAAGAATGGCAAGGACATGCAAGGACCCAATTTGGATGATAAGAATGCTTAGGTAAGCAATGGTGGTCATATGGCCCCCCATTGTTTTCATGGTGGTTTGAACCCCCGGATATGTCGTTTACCTGAATTGGAGCCCTTCTAAATGGGTATGGGTCAATATTAGTCACCACCAGGATATGGACCGCAGGTTTTAGTCCATGTGGTTCGTGCGCGTTTGTCTTTAGACAGCCTTCGAAACAAGTTTTCCTCATGTTTGCCCGTGGTGTTCCTATGCGATTGTGGGATTGACACGGGGGCTACAGCTATTTTCCCAAAGGCAAAGTTCCAACTTTTTTGGTCCCCTGTGAGCAGCTGCTGGCGCGTCGCGCAGAAGAGGAGGATAGGATAGCCAGCTCGCAGTTGTAAGCAGCCGGAGTGCATTACCAGAATGTAGCCAGGATTGACCGTTATAGTTTCAGCATGTTTCAGCATAATCTGGCATGAATGTGTGAGAGAGTGGGCACACGTCAAGCGCCGGTGGCAGTCTATTTTTGTCTGACTGCACAGGTTCCTGGGATCAATATCCCGGCAGCTGAAAGCCAGTGGCTCCAGATGTGTTATTTTTCAAAGTCTGAAGTGCAACATGTCACACACGCGAGTTCACGCGCACGCGCAACCACACAGACACACTGTTGGATATGGGGGGTGGAATTTGGGGGGACCCACTTAAAAATCTATGAAGACAAACACACAAAGACACACAAACCCACAGACCCACTCCTTGACCTTCGAAATGCCAAACTCCCCCAACAGTACTGCGGCGCAGGTGCAGGCGTTCCGCACTAAAGCCTTGCAGCATTGCAGGAGCGCATGATGGGATCAGTGGATGGACGAAATCTATTTCGCACCTGAGAGCCCTGGAATGATTCGATTTCCCAACGCAAATGCCAACGAACGATGGCTTGCATGTTGTTTTTTAGGTGCTGCGAAATGGATTGCGTCCATCCACAGTATCAATGCAAGTGATTCGTTGGTCAAACTTGGGACGTCTTCATTGGTAACTGCAGGGAAAACGCAGAAGGGTCATGAAGGCGCCTCATTGAGTTTGGAGAATCCTTGGCACCGCTCCAGCAGCAATGACTTGCCACGGGACATGTAAGCGAGAGAGTGGCCTCCGGGCATCGAGGTCGATGGCTTGACATGACTCCATTTACTTTGGGGCTAGTAGGTTAGAACAGGGTTCCTTGCAGGACCAATACCTCGAACTCGTTCGATACATTCACCATTCAGATATGAAATTGTTGGATTGCCTCGTTTAAGCAGGTTGTGGGATGGTTTTGTGTAGGTAAGCGTGGACGCGCATTGTCTGTTGCTTGATTGGCGTTGCGCCAGCTTGGCAGGATCAAGGATCAGGGCATGCAGAAGAAGATTGTCCTGCTGCAGAGGCTGTAACCGAGCGCAAGTTTCAGCGAAGAAATGAACAGGTAGTTCGCAGGAGACATGCCATGCCTCATCAACAATACCCTGGATCAGATGCCGGTGCCTGCTCAGACGTTGCAGCACACAATTCGCGGTGGTTCGGAAAAATATTCTACGTCCCACAAACAAACACGTGACAAATACGCGGCATGCGATGGTAAGACTTTCAAACTTCTCAGTCTTCGGCCTCTGGGTTTATTTCAAGCTCATTGATGCCAAGAATGACGACGACATGGAAGACACCGTTGATGTTGCATAGCTTCGGGAGCCAAGCGCTTAGACAACCCCTTCATGGAACGGCTTCCCACTAGAGTTGGCCTGCAACACATGCCGGCCACATTTGACCGTGATAACTTTTCCACAACTGAGGGCTATTGGCACCGATCCTCAATCCAAAAAAAAAGAAACAACGTGGAGCGTTTGGACACAAGTCCCACATAGCTGCCAGCAAACCGCTGCTTTGTAATCGCAAGAAGCCGCGGCGGCCTTGTTAGCAGCTCTCACAGGGCCAAAGGAGCCCCGAAACGTGAACACATTCTCCGAAATCAAACGCTTCATTCAAGACTATTACTCGCTGCTCGGACTCATCTAGGAAATGTAATGTCTCAAGAAGCATTTGTCCTGTGAGCCGTGCCAATGACAAGTTTGACAGCCCAAGGATGCTCTTCATTATCGGATTTCAGATGGAGAGGGTGATCCATATCTCTTTCGCCAGTGGCAGACTGGATGCTTAGCTCCGATGCCTCTAATAACTTTGGGGTTTCCAAGGCGACCGGGGGCTCAGTTCTTCAGGCGCACCAATTTGCCGGGGGGGCTGCCCCACTAAAGATGGTCCAAGCCCCAAGAATGGTCCAAGCCCCAAAAAAGGGTCCCCTTCTTTTCCAGGGTCACTGAACTGAGGGCTGGCGTTTCCTTTGCTCATTTTTTGCATCCGCCAGGGATGCTGCGACTCGACGCTGGAAGGACGAGGAGAAGCTCATCGAGCACCTGAAGGCTTTTGCTGTTGGCTTGGAAACCCCGTAGTCTACTCTCGCCCAGGGCGCACTTTGCACTTTTTTCCTGGCTCTCCCTTTATTTTAGTGGTGGCCCAAAAAGTGACCACTGATTTTTTGGCTGGTCACTGGCGAGTACTGGCGTTGGGTTGTTACTTGGTGGGTTGGTGCGAGAAGCATGTAGAAGCTCTTGTGACCATGTAAGATCAAGCAAGGGGGACTTCCCTATTATGGAGCTTGCTGCAGAACAGGACAATTGTTTTTCTTGACATTGTTTGACGTTCTGCGCGTGTTGCTTGCACAGCTGAGCATGGAATGCAAGCATTGGCTCATAGCTTCCCACCTGTCTTTTTTGCAGTTTCCTCATTCCTTCGGCCACTCCCTAAAAAAAGATCTCGCAGTTTGGAGCTTCCCAACGCACCAAACAAAAACAGTCGCACGGTTTTGAGGTTTCCACGGGACGGCTGGAGCGGTCCCGACACCAAAAAAAACAAGAAACAAAAAAAGGCCGGTGCAGCACCTCGAGAAGACATCGCCGGCCTGAAGCCCCCGGAACCCGCCGGCCATGGCAGCCATGTGGCTGGCGATTCTGCCGTTGGCCTTCGGGCATCCGGGCACCTGGGATGGGAAGGTCATCATGACACTCGGCTGGCAAGCAAGAAAACCGCAGAAAAGACTTGCGCAGTTTTTGTTGTTATTATTATTTTATATATACATATATTAATGTATATATATATATGTTTTTGCTTTGAAGGTAAGAGGAGTTTTGAATCTTGAAGGCGGAGAAGAAAAAAACAAAAACAAAAAGTTGCGGCGACTGGTTCGTTTTGAAGGCAAGAGCCCGTGCCATTTCCATGGTTTGGCTTGGAGAGAAAAAGCCGCGCTCGACCGAGCGCTGTTGTGATGGTGGCTTTCCCAGAATTAGCTCCCCCGCTTCCAGTTTTGCTTTTTTGGGGGTCCCCTTTGTTTTCCACTAACCAGGCAAAAAGGATATTTTTTGGCTGGGGTCCTAATTCCAACCTAGAGTGATGGTGGCTTCCGTTTCTCAAACTGGCCGGAATCCTTGATATCGACTCGGCCTCAGCTGGCGAGACTCGGCGACTTTGGTAGCGATCATTTTTGCAATCAGCTCAGGCGCGGGAGGAAAAAGCCAAATAGAATCCATGACGCCAACTTGCTTTGCACGCGCACTTCTACCGGCTTCCGGCTTGCTGTTCGTTCCGGCTTTTTCTTTCAGCCTGCAAGACTGTCAACTGGCTTGCTGTTCACATTCACAATCAATTCAGCAAATCACCAACCAAAACATGACAATATGAATGTTGCCAATCGAGCGCCCACTTTTGTTAGCATAGTCATTGCACCCTTTCATCGTGACTAATAACTCCTGCACATGTCCACTCGCAGAGTCATGGCTTGTCACGCTTCGCCCGCTTTCGCGATCTTGTGTCCTTTACGCTCTGCAATGTCGACACGCAACTGAGGCTCGTTACGGACCCCTAAAATCATGAGGAGCTGCCATTCATTGGGTTCCTCTAGCCCTTTTGGCATTGGGGGACGTGCCGCTTTGTCACATTTTGTCACAGTCTTTCAGGGAGGGCCCAACAACCCGTTGCCAATCCGGCCGGCCCATCCGAGGAACGAGAACGGCGCCCAGTTACCGGACCTCACGGGCTTCTGGACGGAGGTGCCAAAAAATTGCGTGTGGCACAACTCTACGGGTTGATTCCCCATTCTGTTCAACCATCATTCTTTTCAAAAACCGGCTGTTTCCCCTGGGTTTTTGATGGTTTCCTGGAAAGAAGGATCCCTGGAAAGAATGGGAAGATACCCCTAGAATAACATGACCTGTGGTGAAGCTAGATGCCTAAAATAGGATGATGTATTCATACTGTGGATGGACGAAATCCATTTCGCACCACTTGGAAACCATGGTTGAAACAGTTGTTTGGTGGCATTTACAGGGGGAATCATCAGAAACCAGGGTTTCTTAGGTGGTGCAAAGTGGATTTCGTCCATCCGCAGTATTGGCCTCTCAGCCTTTTGTCAGTTGAGGTCACCAACACAACCGCCGAGTCACCACAGTTGCATCTTCATACCCCAAATGTCTCAATCGTTTTGGCTTCTGTGGAGTCCACACTTCCAGGGTGCCGTGTCGCAACACAAGACAATCTTGCGCAGAAGGAAAGAGGGGCGGGCCACTGATTAGCTGGATGTCACTGTGATGAACTGATGACGCAAAGGAAAAGTGGAGAGCTACATATTGACATGCGCAAGCCGTTGTACATATACTTGTGTATACATATGTATATAAATATATGTATATATACATATATACATAAAAGCGGTTTGATTTGCTGACTCCGGAGGCACAGGATGAGTTCCAGCTGCAACTCTTCCAACTCCCTACGGCGCCAGCAGCAGCACCCAACAGCCGCGGGCTTAGTGGCGGTCCTGCTCTCGGTGTGGACGTTTGGTGTGACGTTTTGGCGTGACTCGTTGTCAGCTCGAGTCTTTTTTGTTTTTGTTTTGGGGGGGGGGGGGGTTCAGATGGGAGGGTAGAACAGAATCGTCATTTTTTTTGGGGGGGGAGGGGGGGTTCAGATGGGAGGGCAGAACAGAAGCATTTTTTGGCAGAACGTAAACTTTTATTTGTTGGCGGGTGGATGGTTCAGCCTCCTATAGGGCAAGCCAGAAACGTCCGCTGGGCCCCTTGGGCCGTTTCAACGTCGGGATGCATGATCATGACGTTCATCTACCAATCCCGTTTGCATGGGACGATTGCCATAGTCCTGCTTCGCTGTTCGGTCATGGAAAGCGGTCACGCGAGTATTTCTTATTATTTCCAATTTGCTGGTGGGGTCACCATGAGCCGCCATTGGGCTTCGCCCAGCGCCGGTGTTTTCCCAAAATCTGCTCTCAGGTAGCTACGCACGCCTCCAGAAGGGCGAGATGGTAGAGAGCCTTGGGCAAGATGCTGGCCACTGACCCCTATTATAAACATGGGTGTGGATCAAAATTAGGCCACCAGGAATTGGACCGCAGATCTTAGTCCATGTTTCCATTTGCCAGGGTTCCATTTTGGGTACCTATTTTTGACCCACAGCCACATGTTGAAAAGCAAGCGATGCCATTACGTCTACTAATGATTTGGCAATACCTGGCAGCCTGAAAGGATGGCTGGGACAAAATAGGGCGGCGTTTTGCCATGTTTATGGGGGATGAAGCGCGTTCTACCTTTCTGAAGGCGCTACTTGTGAACTTTTCTGGCTCCTGCCTGACAACATGAATCTTGAAATGCTGGGTCGGCTCGAGGTTCTCGCTGAAGGGGACACTGGTCAGGCACAAGGTCCTGCCCCGGACTTCTGCGCTGTTGCTTGCGACTTGCTGTTTGGCTGGCCTTACACGGGACAAGCTTAGAGCCGTGAAGATATTGCCTACCATTCCTTTGCGACCTCCCCGAAGGCTTCTGCACGCCATAAGGATATGTAGCCTGACGCCCGTGTTCTCCTACGAGACGCGGCGCCGCCCCTCGGGTTGGACCTAGCTGCGCCCGGCACAGATTGCAGTTTGGGACAGAATCAGAGGGGCTCCTAATCGCCGATTGCATGGAGTGGCAGACACCTGCAAATTCCGGAAATCAATTGCATTGTCAGCCTTCCACGACCAAAAACAAAAGTGCGATTCTCCCGCATTAAGCAAACTTAAGTGGTTTAACTGCAGTCATGGTCTTTGTGTGCGTGCGTGTTCGCTTGAAGTTTTTGCCACTGCTGCCAATAGTGCCAGAGCCTGCAAAGACCTGGCCGCATTCCCAAATTGAAGCCCCGCCTAGCTGTGGGCAACTTGTCCTTTACTCCGCGTTTTCAGGCCCGAAACATCAAGTGGATGATAAGTCATAGGGTCCAGCAATTCTGATTGAAGGGAAAAGCATATATTGAACCCCAAAAATCTATTTCAGCAGGGTAAAATTGATAACATAGGTGTACAGGTATATTTCTTCAGACCTGGGGAAAAGCAAAAGGTTGATTCGCTTTTGACAACTGTTGCTTCTCAGCCCAAAGGACCCAGCAACACAAGCTTCAACTGAAAGCCACAGATGAACCCGCAGGAAGCTTAAATTTTCATGCGACTTGTCGTTCACGCCAGGGTTCCACTTTTTGACTACCCCAAGATGGACTTAAACCCAGGGGTTCTCCTTTTGGAGAACACGAACCACCCCTGGGTAAAAAGTCTACCTTGGAATAGTCAAAACGTGGAGCCCTGGTTCACGCGGTGCGAGTTTTGCGGGGTCACTGGAACTGGCGCTTGGTGGATCTGTGAGCTGCAGCTACGGGCCAAGGCTTGGACACGACCATCAGCTGCACCAGCCTTCAGCAGGCCCCGCTATGGCTGGGCGACCGGACGTGCCTCCGTGCAGCCAACAGGACATGACTTGTCCGGACGGTTGCTGTTCAGGCGTAGTTCAGGTAAGAGTTAAAACAAACAGACGGACAGCAGACAGACGGATTGACAGCGAGAGAAGTAGACAGAGACAGACAGACAGACAGACAGACAGACAGACAGACAGACAGACAGACAGACAGACAGACAGACAGACAGACAGACAGACAGACAGACAGACAGACAGACAGACAGACAGACAGACAGACAGACAGACAGACAGACAGACAACAAACCAACCACGCAACTAAGCAAGCGAGCAAGCAAGCACACCCGCCCGTCCCAGGGTGTATCTAGTTTTTGGCCAGTTCAACTGGCGACCGTGGAAACATTTTCTTAAGCTGGCACTAGTTGATTGAATGCATGGCATGTATGTTGTGACAATTTTCAGGCTCGACAGTTTGCATTGGCAAACGATGGCACAGGGGCAACTTCAACCAAAGCGAAGGGATGAAGAATTGTTTGCATGGCATGCAATGCCCTGGCTCCTAGTGCCCTTTTACCTTTTTTTTGGGGAGGGTTCCCCTACTAAAATTGACTACAGAAAAAAGGGTACCCTTATTC